GGCTTTTGTGTGCCGATATTATTGCGAACCTTGCCATATCCCCTATAACAACAAAGGGGGTCATATTTGTGCCAGTATTTGCATATCTTGTAAACGGTCCCCCGCATGTGATCGAGAGCTGATAATTAAATGCGCTGATTGCCGTAGGTATTTTGTCTCAAATTTATGTTTCAGTAACCATAAACTTCACTCGGGAAAAGAAGATAAATCGGTTTGTGAAAAATTTTTTAAATGTTGTACGTGCTACAAAATAGTTTTAGCCGGGCGAACTCATAGCTGTAATACAATTTATTGTAATATATGTCACCAAAACCGACCAAATAATCATCTTTGTTATATGCCCTTGGATTCCTCTTCACCAAAATTAACAGATTTCCTTTTTATTTTTTACGATTTAGAATGCACGCAAAACAAAACTGTATCTGATGGAAAATCTTTGCATGAACCAAATTTATGTGTTTTCAATCAGAGGTGCGAAGTATGCATCGATTATCCAATCGAGAAAGTTGTTTGCAGAAAGTGTGGTGTACGTCAACAGGTATTAAATATGAGCAGCATAATTGAGACGTTTTTTCAACATATTTTAGAGATAAGAAAGAAGTTCAAACATGTAATAGTTTTGGCACACAATGGGCAGGCTTACGACCATCAATTTATTTTGAATTATATTTTAACCAAAACTCAGTTCAAACCAGAATTAATTATGAGAGGTTCAAAAATAATTTCCCTGAGTATCAATAATGTGAAACTGTTAGACTCTTTGAACTATTTTCCCATGTCCCTCGCCAAGTTACCAAAAGCGTTCGGTTTAACAGACGATTTTCGAAAAGGATTTTTTCCGCATCACTTTAATACACCCGAAAATCAAAATTATGTAGGACCGTATCCCGATATGAAGTATTATAATCCAGATGCTATGAACACCGACGAAAGAGATAAATTTATTAGTTGGTACACCGAAAATAAAGACAACATCTTTGATATGCAAAAGGAAATTGTCTCTTATTGCATATCCGATGTAAATATATTAACGCTCGCCTGCCTGAAATTTCGAGAATTATTAATTAAATCCGGAAATGTGTGTCCGTATACAGAGGCATGTACGATTGCCAGCGCATGTAATAAATTGTTTCGTCGTAACTTTTTGAAAACAGACACGATCGGTTTGATTCCTAGACAGGGATATCGATACCGCGATAA